AGGAGTGGCTGGTGGGTTTGAACTGCCAGCCTTCTGGTTAGCAGTCAAGTGCCTTAGGCACTATGCTACCAGAGATCCCTGAACAGCCCCAGCATCTGGTTTCTCTGGGTGGGCCCCAATAAGGCTTGTGCACATGTGTGGGGTAAGTCACATCATTAGAGAGTGGGCAGGCAGTATGGAGAAATGGCATACTGAAAGGAGTGCATTTCTTACTCAAGGGCAATTTATTGAATATACAGTGGAAATTCAGGGTCCTTAACTCATGCAAAGGAGGGATAAGGTGTTGCCACTTTTTGGAATATTTACATCGTAAATTGCAACATCTGAGCTGGGCTGTGTCACCAAGACAAAAGATGCAGCTCCACTCATTGAGCAGAGCTCCTGACCACAGGAATCGAGAGGCAGAAGCTACACAGCCCCAGAGATAAGACCACAGAGGATAATTCACAGACACGTAGGCTTTGAGATGACAAAAAGGCAACATAATCAGGCTGGCATCATCAAAAATGCTCACTATTTTGACATTCCTTTATTAGAGAGGCAGTAACATGCCATGGAAAAAGATAGATGCTGGAGTCTGACTGTGGCACTTGGGGGTGGTTTCACAGCCTCAGAGGACCAGGCTTCTTGTCTGTCTGAGGCTGCTGATCATATACTCTGTAGAGGGCTGGGCAGGGATTTGAGGCAATGCATGTAGGGTGCCTGATACATAGTAAGAGATTGATAAATGGTAGTAGCTGTGGCTAATAATAAAGGAGGTGGGTGGGTGGGTGGCACAAAGTGTAGAAAACTACCAATCCATGTTGTAAATCTTGGTGCAGCTGGTAGATGACCAAGAATGTACACAACTTCTAAATCATTAATGGAGTCATTCTGTACAGATCTGTCTGAGAGGCTGTGTAATTTCTCACCTCCTGTTTGTATGTCTCCATGTTTACCCCTTCATGCTGGAAGTGGAAGTAAAATCACTCAGACAACTAAGAACCTCAACCTAAGCCCAGAACAAAATGTTTCCCTCTCCTGGGCTTTCTCTTTCTCTCTCCTCTCTCTCTAGAGGTGATCATAGCTTTCTTAGTACCACGAAGGTAACTATGGTTTAGGCCCCCAAAGCCTCCTGTGAGCTAATGGGAGCAAGGGGAATGAGAAGTCAGAAAGTCCAGAGAGAACCTAATGAAACAAGGAGGTGAGCATATCAATCAGAGCTGGAAAGTAAGACAGACAGGCCATGATATGGACAGCTGAGTGTGCAAGAGACAGTCCTGAACTCACAGTCACATGGGTTTGGGTGCGGCAGATGTCTAGGAAGTGGCAAGGTCACTTCCTCTTCTATATGCTGAGGCAAGTGGGGCTGGGGAATTTATCTGGTGGTTTTCCAGGCTGGGGTGCCTACTGGGGTGCTCTTGCCTTGGGAGTCCTTGAGGTCCCCCACTCGGGTTCCTTTGGCCTTAGCGTCCCCACCTTGGGCACTGCTGGAGCTGCTGGCCACACTGCTGGCCCCAAGGTTGGCACTCACAGACTTGGGGTGGTAGCCGTAGCTGCTTCCACTGCTGCTACTGATGACAGCTGAGGAGGAAGAGCAAGAGCAGGGAAGGCAGCAGGTTGTCAGTGACTCATCATCCCAAGGGCTGGCTCTTTATATGCCATCCCATTTCACCCTCACAACAGCCATCGCTAAGCAATGAGCAAACAAATGGGAATTAGGACCATGTTTTGTACCACACCTTGTGTGAGGTGAGGGTCACATAGTACAAACATGATCCCGATCCCTGTTCTCCTGGAGATTCTAGAACCATCTGGCTCCAAAGTCCATATTCTCAGCCCTTTCTCTAGATGGCAACGTCCCAGGGAGGGACAGGAAGGAAACAGGAAACTGTTTCCTTAGGAACAAAGGAAATCAGTTTCCTTTGAAACCAGAGGAGCCTTCACAGAGAGTAACACATATTTCTGGATGGAGTGAGATAATGAGGAGATCTGGGGTGCTTGGTCTCCAGATTTGCCACCCAGCTAGAAATCCTCAGCCAGTGCATCTCTCCAGGATACTCACAGATGCTCACGGAGGATGGGTTCTCTCCAGACATCCTGTAAGACAAGGTTAGGGCAATTAAGACCTCAGGAAAGTACCCAAAGTCAGATTCAGCTAAGCTTTACTGGACATCTGCTTTTATACACATAATCATTTAAATTTGTCCTTGCAATAATTCCAGGAGATAGAGATTTTAATTCCCATTTTACAAATGAGAATATTGAGACTCAGAGACATGAAATGACTTACCAGGGCCACACAGCTAGTTTTTAGCAAGGCCAGTCATCATTAAACCCATGTTCTGACCCCAGTAGATCTTTTCACTGCCCCACAAAGCCAACTGGGGCTACATGGTTCAAGTCTGACATCCCCTTGCATGAAACTGCTACAGAATTCACCAAACTATCACCTCCGTGGCTCACATTGTCACCGGTGCTGTTATCTCTCATCTCTCAGCTCTCAAATGGCCCTTCAGCCAGATGGGTAACTACCTATAGCCCCTTCTCACTTGGTAGCTTGGTGATCCCCTCTGCCTCTCTTACCGGCATTCCTCCCCTTCCAATAGCTTGCGGTAGGTGGCGATCTCCATGTCCAGGGCCAGCTTCAGGCTCATGAGCTCCTGGTACTCACGCAACATCCTGGCCAGCTCCTCCTTGGCCTGGTGCAAGGCAGCCTCCAGTTCATCCATCTTGGCTCGGGCATCCTTCAAGGCATTGTCCCCTCGCTGCTCAGCATCAGCGATGGCCGTCTCCAGGTTGGAGCACTAAAAAACAGAAAATAGGGAAATCATCAGAGCACAAATAATTTTAGATCTTATATACTAGGTAGTGGGAGCTCTGGTTGCATAGTGCCTAAGGCATTTGACTGCTAACCAGAAGGTTGGTGGTTCAAACCCACAAGCTACTCCTCGGAAGGAAGATTGAGCAATATACTTCCATGGTGTTGTGTTGTTGTTGTTGTTGTTAAGTGCCGTCGAGTCATTTCTGACTCATAGCGACCCCATGCACAACAGAACGAAACACTGCCCGATCCCACACCAGCCCCACAATCCCTGCTATACTTGAGCCCATCATTGCAGCCACCATGTTTCCCAGTCCTTCCATAGTGTTACCACCTCAGAAACCCAAGGATGGGTCACTGTGAGTCAGATCCGATTTGATGGCAGTGAGTTTGGTTTGGTTTTTGTATGCTAGGTAGCATAACCCCTCATTTTACAGATGAAGAAATTGAGGCCCAAAGTGACAGCAAGTAGCAGCGGCAGAGCCAGTACCAGAACCTAGTCTCCTCTATTTTCTGTTGCAGACAGATATTTAAAGGACTTGTTGTGAAAATCTGTGGGAGCAGTTACATTTCAGGAGGGCAGGAAGAAGCCATGGTGTTTGCAAAGGTGTCATTGAGGGCCTGGGGTTGGAGACCTCTGATGGCTGTAGGTTTAGAGTATGCTAGGTCCTAGTATCCTAGGTCCAGGAGAATCACACTTGAGATGACAATTATAGGAGTGAGACCCAGAAGTCCTCTAAGGATCGGATAGCATGCCAATGGCCTCCACTGTGATGGACTGGAATATTGCCTACAGGATGTCTCCCCATCAGGGTCTCTTCTTACCTGTTTTCACCAAGAGTGAGAGGGTCTGTTGACTCTTACCCCATTCTGAAGGGAGAGTCCATTCAATTGCCTTTCACATCTGGCCTGAGGGGGGAAGGGCACTCCCCTTAAGGCAGGAGGTTTAATCTGTTGTCCTGAGTTGATTCCAATTCCAGGAGAACCCAAAGGTGGCCAGAGTAGAACTGTGCTCCATAGGTGTTCAGTGGCTGAGTTTTCAGAAGTAGATCTCCAGGCCTTTCTTCTGGGGGCTTCTGGGTAGACAGCCTTCCAACCTTTTGGTTAGCAGCTGATTGTGTTAACTCAAGAAAGTTAACTCAGGTTTGCACCACTCAGGAACTCTAGGGCAGGAGGTTAAGGGCTGGAAATGACAGCCACAACCTCAGAAGCTGTACTCTGGCCAACATCCAGGGGTGTTGTGGTTCCAAGTACTAACAGATGGGGAAGAAAGGTCTTCAGAGAGTCTGAAAGCTGGTGATATGGAGCTGGAAGGCTGTCTCTTTGTTCCTCACACTGCCAGATGTGGAGAGTTGTGGGAGTGGGAAAGGAAAGAGGGTTCTCATCTCTCAGTTTGGCAACTCATCCCCAAATAGGATTGACCTCATTCTCTGGAGCAGTCATAGGAAGGACACACCTTCTTCTTAAAAATCATCTCCCCACTAACACTGTTTAGAGACTTACTGCTTTCAGGTAAGACAGGATCACCCAGGTCAAATGGAAATCTACTGTGACATGATTGGGAGTGGGGGGACACACAAGAGCTTCATCTGCTGCTGTCCCCACTCAGTGTCTGGGACCATCCCCCATCTGTGAAGCAGGAACCTAACATGGTAACAGAAGGACCCTTGATGAACACCCCACATGGACCCTGTGTGTTCCATGTCCAAGGGAGAAGGAGGTATGGGGCTTGTCCTTAAAGTGGCACACCCCATGCACATAGGGAAGAAGTTTATTGCACACAGAAAAAGTCTGAGAGAGGGAAAAAAAGAAAGAGGAAACTTGGCTTCTGATCCTGGCTCTATCAATGACAAGCTGAGGACTCTAGGCAAGTCAGTTCCCCTCTCCCAACGTAGTTTCCTTATATTTAAAATGTGGGGATTAAATTGAATAAATTCAAGGTCCTTCCCAGTTCTAAGCAGGTGCTCATTCTCATCTCAGGGAAATCAAGAAAGATAGGAAGAGAGGGACTGTGGCTGGCCAAGGGGCTCCTGAGCCCAGGCTGGGGAGATATGACTTTTACTATAGGATTGTCTCCAGTTTCTCCATCACAAGGATGAACTTGAATTCGGAGGGGGTGGATTTCTGCCCACCTGCTTCTTCAGATTCCCAATCTCACACCGAATCCTTTGGATGAGCCGGTTCAGCTCTAACATCTCATTCTTGGTGTTTTTGAGGTCATCACCATGTTGGCTGGCCACCTGTTGCAGCTCCTGGATCTGGTTTCCCAGAGATAAGAAAATAGTGATGAGAAGGACTGCCCCTGCCAAGATAGGAGAAAGGTGGCATAAGACCACCTCCACAGCACTACAGGGTCCTGTCCAAACAGTTCCATGACTACAGCAAACCAGGGTTGGTGGCTCTGGAGCAAGAAGTAATGGAGCCAGGACCTGGGCATTCTTCTAGCTGTTTGGTGGTGATCCTGACCAAGAAGTCCACCCTCTTCTCTAAGCAGAATTTATCTGCTGGGCCTATCCTCCTTTCTGATCATCTTGCCAGCAGTCTTTCCAGGGCTGCATAAAGGAAAGATGCAGTTCACCCTGTCAATGTTTATTAAGCATTTTCTAATAAAGAACTCTTGACCTTCACCTATATTTATTCATCCACTCATTCATTAATTTAAAACACATTTAGAGAGTCCCTTTTAAAGATCAGGTTCTGTTCCAGGGTCTGAGGATACAGCAGAGAACAGGATAGACAAGGCCCTTGCTCTCATGAAATTTACATTGTCCTGGGCCCTTTCTCAGTGGTAGAGAAGCCAAGGGTCACATCTCCCTTGAGATGGAAGTGGGGGTTACAGGCAGGATTTCTGGAATTTTTGTATCAGGACCTTTGACTTAAATCTCTCTCTCTCACCTTATCCAGTCCTCCAGGGAAGTGGGAATGACATGGCATAGATAAGGAACAAGGAACAAGAGGAGACCAAAGCCAAGTCGAACCACACCTATGATCTTTGCTGTTGTTGAGAGGAGCCATACAGCAAGGGCAGGTGTGAGCCATGGTCAGTGCTCAAGTAAAGGATGACAGTCCTGAAGAATTTCACCCTAAAGCATCACTCCTATTACTCAGAATGTTCCTGGGATTCTGCTTCTTCCTCTAGGAAGTCTTTCCACACTTAGCAGAAAAGAGTTCACGGCTTCCTCTTCTCACTTCCCACCCCACCCCAGTTTCCCCAAAGTACTCTCTATAGCTACTCTCCTCCATACATGTTATGCTCCTTCCACCCCATACCTCATATACCCCAGTTCCTGTAAATGCATTTCTTTTAGTGGTAACTCCTCATTTCTTTCCTCCATCAGAGAGTTACCTGTCCTTCTCTATTGGGTATGTCCATCTAAACAAGTTCTTTGATTTCTCCCTGATAATAGTCTCTGCCAAGAATTCTCTTTGGGTAGAATACAGTTAAACCGTTGGGTAGAATATGGTTAATAACCAATCTTTCATTCAGAATGCCTACAAAGGTATCTCTCTCATTCACTGGGGGAGGTGTCCCCTCCCAGGAAGGGAGAGGTCAGTGGAGGGAGGCAACAGCAGTGCTCACCTTGCTCTGGTACAAAGCCTCAGCCTCAGCCTTGCTCTTCAGGGCAATCTCCTCATAGTGGGTGCGAACCTCGGTGATGATACTGTCCAGGTCCAGGTCCCGATTGTTGTCCATGGACAGGATGATGGAAGTCTCACTGACATGTGTCTGGATCTGGGCAATCTCCTGATTGAGAGATGAGGACAGAATTAGGATGCTCCTGGCTTCCTTCCTCTGTCCTGTTATCTTCTAGGCCTGTGATTTGTGGCAAAAGAAGTCACTTGGACCTACAGGCCTCAAATGGAGGGAAGGAGGGCCTGCTGGAGAGCTGTCTGTTCAAACACAGAAATAATGATCACAGCAGATAGAAGCACCAAATACCATGGACAGCAAGAGGCATGTAAGTTAGGTGCAAGAATGTTGTCCTACAATTTCACAATATCCACTGATCTGTGGTTTAGTGGGACTTTATAGGGTCATTTTCGCCATTTTCCTGTCCATGGACAAGGCCACTACTATGGCCCAGATGGGATTATCTCCTATGTATATAGCCATTGGAGACCAAGTTTTCTCATTTCCTTGGCCTCCCATTGCAGGGTTTTCTATCTTCCCATGAAAATAGTTTTCATTCTATTAATCCTATATCCCTCCTATTAGCATCTTCCTTCTGTCAGAGATCTTAGCTGGAAAGAGGCAGGAAGGGGGATAAGAGTGTCCTCACCGCATTGTACAGACACTTGAGGAACTTGATATCTTTGTCCAGAGAGTCAACTTTGGCCTGAAGTTCCACTTTGACTGTGTAGGCTGCATCTGCATCCTGCCGAGAGATCAGTCATAGCCATCAGTCAATAAAACTCTCATCCCATCAGCTGTCCTTCCCCTGTTCCCAAAGCCATCTGCCTATCCTATTTTCGCCCACAAAGGGAAGTATCTCAATGAACAAAATTGCTCAATATCATTTTTTCCCCCTCAGTTTCATTGAGCCTTTGGAAAACACCTGGAGAAAGCAAAGCCCAGAGAGATAGAGTGAACTTCCTCAAGTCAAAGAAGAAGGCAAAGCTAGACCAGTTTCCTGACTTCCAGTCCAAACTTCTCTTTGTCTCTGTCTGTTTCCTGGGTGTTTGTCCTTCTTCTTCAACTTGCTAGAGGCCAGTATTATAACTCTACCCTTATTCAGGCATCAGTCCCCTTCTCCCGAAGTCCTCAGTAGAGTTGTTTGAGATGAAGAATGCAAGAGAAATCAGAGTGCATAGGCCTTTCTCTCCCTTACCTTCTTTAGTGCCACAAACTCATTCTCAGCTGCTGTGTGCTTATTAATCTCCACCTCATATCTGCAGGCAGAGAGAGAAGATAGAGAGGCCTCTGTCCCCTCAGCCAGGGCCAAGTTACCTCCTCTTCCCACTGACCAGGCAGGGATGCAAAATTCCCAGGAAGCTTTCCATGGGTGAGCATTGCAAAAGTGGATGGTGGAGTGAGATGCCCCAGGTCTATTTCTATTCCATTTTACTCACTGAAAAAATATTCAGGTTCCCCAAACCAGCCACCTGAATCATTCAGTAGGTCAATAGCATATGAATCCCTTCTTATAAATCAGGTAGAAAGTTCTCATCAAACAGATGGTGCCTTTGCCAGAAGCCTGAGAAGAAGGAGACCCTGACCCCAATGCTTGCTCTCTCCCCTCCTAAAGAATGGCAGAGATTAGGTGACTCTAGGGGCCTTTGACAATATGACTCATAACCATTTGGTGAGACCTGCTTACCTCTTCTTGTAGTCCTCCACCAGGTCTCGCATGTTCCTCAGCTCTGAGTCCAGCCTCACCCTATCCCCAGACAGTGTCTCTAGCTGCTTCCGCAGGTTGCCTATGTAGCCCTCAAAGAGGGGTTCCAGGTTCTTCTTGCAGTTATTCAGGTCCAGCTGCTGCAGCAGTTCCCACTTGGTCTCCAGAACCTGGTTCTGCTGTTCCAAGAACCTCACCTGGAACCCAAAACAACAGATGTCTGCAACTGCAGTAAATGGTATCATGTCCCATGGACATACATTGACTCCCAAGGTTAAGCTGATTTTTGGAAAGTCATTTTGCTCAAGTCCTGACTCTCCATTTATGGCATGCCATACAAACTAAACCCCTTGCAAGCACTCATCCCCTAGCCTACTGGATGACCTATCACTGAAAACTCACTAAAGAAGGAGATTCCACAGTTGTTTTCTGTTGCCTGACCCAGGGCTCTGAAGATGGTCCTTATATCTTTGCTAAACATTCCTTCCTGTACCATGAGCCCTTCCTTCTGAATAGCACTTATCTCATCATGTCTTCAGTTTTTTAAAGAGCTAGAGATCCACCCAGCTGTCCTCCACAAACATACTATTTCTTTCTCAAAGCCAGGCTACTTTTTACCCAACCAATTTCCCATACTTCTCTGTCAAATCTAAAAAAATTGCATTCACTTATTCTACCTAGTTTATAAGCCTGCTCTCCTCTTATGGTCAGGAAGTCCTTCCTGAGATCCACCTGCAACATTTTCATGCACAATGCTTCATCCATTCACAAGCAGCAGGGAAGTTGTTCATATCTCCTTGAACTGCCTTCTCCTCTGCCTATGAGACTCACCTTGTCGATGAAAGAGGCGAACTTGTTGTTCAGGGTCTTGATTTGTTCCCACTCCTGGCTGCGTACTTTCTGAATCTCAGGGTCCAGCTCCACATTGAGAGGGACTAAGAGGCTCTTGTTTACAGTGACCTGGTGTATACCTCTAGGTGGGCACACTGATGGGCACACAGGTCTCAAAGCCACACTGCCAAAGATGTTGCCAGTAAAGCCAGTAGCCCGGCCCCCTCCATGCCCAGAGCCATGCCCAAAGCTGTAACCTCCAGTTCGAACACCACCACCTGCCACACTGAGAGAAATGCACCGATTCCCTCCTAGATTGTAAAGGCTCTGACTGCTGAAGCCAGGCCCAGCCCCTTTACCAACTGACCGGAAAGAAGCCACACTGCCCACAGCCTTCCTTGGCACCACTGCTGAGTACCCACTGAAGTCACCCTTGTCACCACCAGACTTGATGTTCAGTTGTCGACTCATAGTGGGACAGGTGGAGTTGACAGAGCTAGAGAAACTCAGCCAACAATGGAGCAAAAAATACATTGACAGAGCACCCAAGGCTGCCTCCTTTTATCCCTGTTCAGCCTAGGACACCGGAAAAGGGTGCCTCTCCACTATCTCCTGTCCTCCAGCTGAAGGGCCAGGGGCCATGGGCAATTTATGGAACAGAGATCGCCAAGCCCTTTGCAGCAACAAAGCCTTCCTGATAGTGGTCCAAAAATGCTGCCCTTGCAAGCTGGAGTGGTCTAATTTGGAGCTTATCTGTGCTTTCTAATTAGGGACCTGGAGACTTATCCCCTCCAGAGATCTCCTAGCTTTGTTTTTTCAGTGCTGTCTCTTTCTTGCTTATCCACCAGCATGGAGCAGGTAAGTACCTGGCTTATTCCAGAGAGGGCTTTTTCATCTGAGAGGCCCAGTTTTCCTGCCAAGAAAGATCATCTCACTACTATCAAGTCATTGACTACTATCAAGTCATTGAGGAGTCAGGGTGTTCATGCCAGAGAAAAGAAGATTTAAAGTGGGAAGCAGATGATGGCTTCTTCAAAGATCTAGGTCCAGGAAAGAAGTCCTAGGAAGTCATACTATGGGTCACTCTAGAAACCACCTCAGCCCAGCAATGGAATAGACCCCAGGGAGGTAGTGGAAATGAACATAGACTCTACATGATGACTCTGTAGGGCTAGTGTCTGAGATGTCCGAATTGGGCAAGGCCTGTGTTGTGGTGACACTGAAATTGCCTTTTCAGCAGTGAGAACCTTTTCAGGAACCTGGCATATCCTCCATTGGAATGTTCTCTCCTGGATAAGGTTATCTGGCCTATTTAGGGGTCAGACCGTGGAGCAGTGTCTGGAGCTGGGACAACAGTTCTCTCCCTGTGGAAAATGTCTCCCTCCACATTTCCTGGGGAATACCTCATGGCAAAGTTGACCCAGGAACAAGAACCCCTAAGTTTCACTTCTGGGTTCAGGGTGGGCTTTTCTGCTGATTTCCTAAAATCATCTAATTTTTAGAACAGGAATTACTGGTGAGATGGAATGTTAAGAAATTATTTCAAAAATAGTTATCTAGTAGCTGCCTTCAGACAGGACTATGGCCACTTTTTATAACTAAATCGGGGTGCCTTTGACCCATTTGAGTCAGCCAGAGCGTGATAGGAAACAGCTCCCACTGCCAGGGAGAGGAAAGAGAAAGAGGGCAAGCTGGAGCTGGGGGATGGAGCATAGGCTATGAACAGAGACTCTTAGGGGATTTTTGCCTTTTTCAGAATATTTTCCTTTCAGACCCTGAGGTAGCGGTGGAAGCTCCTTCTCTGGGCCGTGTCTCTCAGCCTTTCTGTCAGGACCTAGCCCTAGGGCATGGCTGGCAGAGTCGAAGTGGTTTCTTGTGGTTTTCTGAGCCAAATTACAAAGGCAGCAGCAGGTAAAAAGTAAACTAGGTTGCTAACCCTGCTGGGTTTGCCTCTTTTCTCTATGGTGTATGAATGTCAATGAACTGTATAAGTTCCTTAACCTAAGGGTGACTAACACAGGGTTCCAGCCCCCAAAGGCCAGAACTCTGGAAATACAGAAGAGAATTATGAATAAAAGTTTAGAGGTGTGCCAAAGGATGAGTGACTATTTTTAATAGAGTTTTTAAGGAGACTAAACAATCTACTTACATAGAGATAATGCCTTGGAAACCCAAGGAGGGGTTGCTATGAATCGGGACCAACTTGAGGGCAGGCAGTTTGGTTTCTTGGTCCAGAGGAACATGCTTATATGCCACCTATGGCTCAGCATAGGTGCTCAGAGGTAGTGGGGTTTGAAGAATTATTTGTCACCGTAGCAGTAGCAAAGATAGTGGCAATAATGTTAGTTATAGTGATAGGGTTAAAATCTGTTTCTGTCCATTCCAAATCTAGTAGTAAAAATGTTAACATTTATTATTTACTTAGCATGTGCCAGGTATTGTGCCAAGCACTACATCGAGTATCTAATTTGACCCTCACTTTATTAACTTCAAGGAACTCTGGTGACATAGTTGGGCTACTAACCAAAAAGTTGGCAGTTCAAACCCACCAGCCACTCTGAGGGAGAAAGATGAGGCAGTCTGCTTCGGTGAAGGTTTTTTGAAAACCCCATGGGGCAGGTCTACTATGTCCTTCAGGGTTGTTATGAGTCGGAATTGACTCAATGACAGTGAGTTTGGTTTTTGGTTTTATTAACTTCATTTCACAATTGAGAAAATCAGGGCCTAGAGGCATTTAGGAACTTATCCAAAGCCACTCAGCTAATAAGTCAGGGCTGGAACTGAAATTCAAGTATGTCTGCTTTCAGGTGTATGTTCCTAATCATCATATTATGTGAAGGAGATGAAAAGTAAGCTTTTTGCATGCAAGTGGTGGGCATGACAGCTATGAGTCCCTTGTGTTTCTGTTAGATTTTGGAGATGAATTTATGACATAAGGAAAAAGTTGTTGCTAAAGCAGGGGCTGTATAGGGTGGTTGTTCAAGTTTAGACATCACACTAAGGTTCAGAGAGAAAGTCATCCAAAATGAGGATGGAGAAGGGGGAGAAAAATCTCAGTTTCAAGGGGCATATTTTATTGTAAAACCCCAGTAGGTGAATTGAAATAATTCAAAGGGAAAATAAACATGGCTCTGGTTATCTGAGTCTCCTAAGGCAAGTTTTGCATCTCTGCTGCCTGGCTAAGTGTGAGCCCCAGTCTCATAGCAGAGTTGGACCTCATATAGGCAACTTCAACAGAATATTTGCAAAGCAGGGAAAGGCAGTAGGTTGAATCTTCAAGATTGGAGAAGATTTAGGTGAAAAAGGCAGATTTTCAGGTGCCTATACAAATACCAGGGAGCTCAGGTAGCGCAGTGCCTAAGGCACTTGACTGCTAATCAGAAGGCTGGCAGTTCAAACCCACCAGCCACTCCTTGGAAGAAAGGTTGGACAATCTACTTCTGTAGTGATACTGCCTTGGAAACTCAAGGAGGGGTCGCTATGTGTCAGGTCCCACTCGATGGCACATAACAACAACAACATACAAATACTAAGGAGCTGTGGAGGTATAGTAGTTAAGGCTTTTGGCTGCTAACTAAAAAGTCATTGGTTCAAACCCACCAGCCACTCCATGGAGGAAAGATGAGGCAGTCTGCTTCTGTAAAGATTTACAGCCTTGGAAACCCAATGCGGGTTGCTGTTAGTTGGAATCGACTTGATGGCAGTGAGTTTGTTTTTTGAGTATACAAATACCACAAAATGAACAGAGCCTATTTGTGCTCAAAGTGGGGCTGGCGAAAACTGAGATTGCGCTTTCATTCCAGAAACATATAATGAGTATTTACTATGTGTTAGACCTTGTGCTGGAGGTTAATGAGTAAAGGTTTAATGATGGTGATGGTGATGGTGATGGTAGTGGTATCAGTGGTGGTTGTGATGAAGAAAGAAGAAGGGAATCTCCTGACAACACCATTGAGAATGTGGCCATCCATAGTGCCCCTCAAACCAAAACCAACAACCCAACCCACTGCCATTGAGTCAATTCTGACTCACAGAGATCCCCATTGAGTTTCCAAGGTGGCAAATCTTTACAGAAGTAGGTTGCCCCATCTTTCTTCCACAGAACAGCTGGTGGGTTTGAACCATCAACCTGATTAGCAGGCAAATGCCTTAGGCACTGCACCACCAGAGGTCCTATAGTGCCCTTCATAATCTTCTAATTGATTCCTAAACCAAAAAAAAAAAAAAAACTCACTGCCATCAAGTCAATTCCAACTCATAGCGACCCCTCCTTGGGTTTCTGAGGTGGTATCTCCATGGAAGTAGATTACTCAATCTTCCTTCTGAGGAGTGGCTGGTGGGTATGAACCACCAGCCTTCTGGTTAGCAGTCAGATGCCTTAGGCACTATGCCAACAAAGCTCCCATTTGATTCCTAGGGAATTTAGTTGTGGGGGAATTGTCCTTAGCCTACTCAGTAGAATATCTGACACTTCCTACCTTCACCTATGTTGGCTACTATTTAATTAGCCATCACATTTCACACTCAGTCCTTAAGCTCATTGGACTAATGAGTGCCCCAAGGTCTGAAGAGATTGATTCATTCAATAAGTGTAAAATTCAGTACCTACTGTGTGTACTGCTCTATGCGAGACATTGAAAGAGATATCTAAGACACTCTCCTTCCCCTCTAGAAAGTGAAAAATCAAACTGGAGGAGACAAAATAGATGCACACTTTGTAAGCACAAAAAGCAAGTTATTTTGCTGTTATTATTGCTGGAGTTTTAACTCTACATGCTTGTACTGGATTAGATGCTTAAATAGATGACTCAGATAAACTCTTATTGCTCTTGTTATGTGCTGTCGAGTCGGCCCCGACTCATAGTGACCCCTCCTTGGGTTTCTGAGGCAGTATCACTATGGAAGTAGATTGCCCAACCTTCCTTCCAAGGAGTTGCTGGTGGGTTTGAACCACCAGCCTTCTAGTTAGCAGTCAAGTGCCTTAGGCACTATGCTACCAGAGCTCCTAGATAAACTCTTAGTGAAAGGAAATTCTGATTAAAACCAAAATGAAATAGGTTATGACATCTGAGGTAGAGATTTGGGTAGGTTAACAGTACAATCCAGTGAGCAGTGAGCAGCCCAGCCAGATTGTAGGAGAAGATATGACTTGGGGAGCAGGGGTTAACAAAGTTGACCAGAGCATGATAGTGGACAAGCTAAGATGGTTCCCTTTTCCCTGTAGACAGTGTGGAATTATGAGAGGGTTTTGAGGGAAAACAACCTCATAGAGTCAGTGCTATAGGTTAAAGAACAGGCTCCGAGTTACGCAAGGAGAACTGTGAGGAAGACAGGGAGCACAGGAGGCCCTGAGGGAGTGGAATCCATTTGCGCCATAACCTACTCACCATCTTGGTTTAGGATATTCCTGGAGAGTGAGGGCCTGACCTTATAGTGCACACCACACCCAAGGTAAATAGAAAGCAGTGCGATGAGTAATTCTAAATGAACATAGCCAAAGTCATATCTGGT